GAGTGTGGAGAAAACGGAGCAGGGTGAAATTGGGGGTGAGGGGGATTGAAGGGGGTGAGGAGAACAAGACCAGAAAAGTGACTGGCTGCCACTCTCATTCTTTAAAATATCTCAAGATTAGGTTGAGGAAAAATGAAGTCCTGAGCTGGTAAGCCCAGGAAGAGGTACGGAATCCACTGCCCACTATTTCAGTCCCACAGTGAAGGGGAGGGGCTGGGAAAACAGCAGGAGGGATCAGAATTAGATCACAAAAGTCCATATTCTGACAGCCAAGTAGCCCTGAGAACCGGGCCTATGCCCCAAATAGGAAGGGTGAATTGGTGCTCGGAAAGACACCAAGGTCACGCTGGGGCTTAATAGCTTCAGAACTATTGGGGAGTGAGCAGGAGAAGGGATGGGAGAAAGATTCCAGGGAGGAAGGATGTACAGAGGTAGTTCCCCGGTCCTGTTCCAGCCCCAAACCGGTTTTCCCGGTCCCGCTGCCTGCAGCCCCAAGGCCTCCAACCCGCTGCCTGACAAGCCGTCACAAGAAGCAGCTGGAGAGAAAAAGAATTAAGAGAATGGAGTGGGCAATAAACCCAGGGCTGCAGCCGGTCCCCCGTGAAGACCTCCAGAGAAGGAGAGCAACCGAGCTCCTCTAGAGAAGGAGGGGTAGACCCCACTTTTCAGGCAAATGACAGGCATTTGTCCCAGCACCGATCGTGCCCTTCCCCAGGAAAGGTCTTGTGGGGGCTGAAGATGAAACAGAAGTAGGCCCTAAGCTCCCCCTCAGTATATTGTCATTTCAGTCACACAGACTCCATTTCTGCCGACCCCCCAACTCTACCCAGACATTCTCTGTTCCTCTGAACGCTGAACTAGGATTGGGACCCCCCGGTGAATCTTTCGGACTCTGTCACTGTCCTCCGTGGCTACCTCAGTCTCAGGTTTAGACCTTCCAGAACCCAGCTGGGCTCCACTTTGTCTCGCACACGCCACCACCGAGCTCAGTGAGTTGCAGAGGAGACCTCCCCTCTCACCTCCCCCACACCCCAGTCCCCCTGCCCTCCTACTCTTCAGCGGCCTCACCGCGGGCGCCGCCCGAGCGTGGATGGGGCGGGTACTCAGGGGGCGCATCCCTTTTCCCACCGACCCAGCCAGCCCACAGCCGGGACGCCCTCCTCCCCCACCCCCAGCATCCGGTGCGGCGCCGTCGGGCGGGGCAGGCGGGGCGCACCGGCGGCCACCAGCTCCACGGTCTCACCTGCTCTGCTCCGGCATCGAGGCGCCCGGCTGCAGCTTGTGGGGGGCTCCCGCTCCGTGCCCGCCAGTGTGGGGGTTCCCGGACTCGCTCCTCGGTGCGGTGGGGNGGACTCGCTACTCGGTGCGGTGGGGAGCCGAGGGCGGGCCGGCAGAGGTGGGGCTGGCCGAGGGCGGAAACGGCGGCGACGCGATTACGAAACCCGTCCGGCTGGGAGGCGGGCGCACAGCTCCCCCCTGGACTGAGGCGGCGCTG